TTTGTACTTAGTTACTTTACAACTCTAGGAAAGACCATGTTATGTTGATGGGATCTTATGGGCAGATTCTTCCAGTCGAAGAAGAAACACTCAGTGAAGCATTAAAAATAAATAATAAATAAATTAAAATAAAACGGTGCTGTTTTTTAAAAGCGTTCTTGTAAAAAAGTTGTAACTAAATTTGCTTTATTGGTCTAAACTTTACTCAGAGTTTCTTTCAGGCTTGTAGTGATGCTGACAGTCCACTGATCTAAAGAGGGTCATCATCTAATCCCTGTCTGAGTGGACGGGTAATCTCAAGCCTCTGCAACCCATTCATTGACTTTAATTATTTTAACAATATATTATTTATGGGGTTTAAACCTGATTTCCATTTGAATATTTTATTTGTCTTCCTGTTTACTTTCTCTTTTAAATGGTGCCACATTTGTAAGGAGCAGTAGAGCTGAGTTGCAAAATGAAAGATTTGTCAAATCTTATACCAAACACACATTTCCTTGCTTTTTCTTGCTAAATTCACATGGTGTGTTTGGGGCTCTGCTCTGCACATTTGATGACACTGCGGGGGTCTCTGCAGCGCTCTACAGCCATGCTGTGCTGGGGCGGCGGCAGCATGGACAGAGACAGAAGGATTCAAAGAGTCAGCTCTGTGCTGGGCTGCCCACTGGAATCTGTTGAGGAGGAGGCAGACAGACGGATGACAGCTATCATCCATCATGGCCGACTCGTCACAACCCCACCCCCCAGGACAGAACTGTAGAATCTCTGAGGAGCTCCTTCAGCACACAACTTTTACACTTCCTGAGCAGGAAGCAGTCTCACTGCCATCAAGTTTTTTAACAGTTATAAATAATGACATCACTTCTTCTCTGTTATTTTTATTTTTTATGAACAATATATGAATATTTTTGCACAAATAGTGTAATATATGTGTACCTTTTTTCTCTTTGTGTACATACTTCATAAATGTATATGTACATACCTTTCAGTAAATTTTTCTCCTTGTGTTTCTTTACTGTCTTGTTGCTGCTGTGACACCTGAATGTCCTCATTGTTGGATAAAGTAACTGATATTACAGGTTATTTGACAAACACAATGCAGGAGTTTATATATATA